AGTCGCCACTGGTGGCACCGTCGCCATTGGCGGCGGTGCTGCGGGCGCTTCGGGTGGCAGCAGCGCTGCTGGCGCCCCCTCCGCCATTGCTTCCAATGCCGGATGTGCTTCGTCTTACATCATAAGACCCAAGTTTTTGTTGTTTACAATGGCTTCGCAGCGGCGGGTTCCGTCAGATAGCCTTCATTGGCGGAGCCAGATCGCCCACTTCATAAGCGGGTGTACGTATTACAATGAGACGACGTAGGTCTTGCTCTGCATTACAGGCACCGCGGAATTGCGGCTCGATCTTGTGTCACCCGGGTTTTGTCTGTGGTCACTTTGTGTCACAGGCTCGTCACAGGACCACTGCGCTCAAAGCTTACTCCCCTCTGCTTCTCACGAAGTGAATTCAAGCAGGCCAAGCCGCTTGTGAACGCAGTCAATGTGTTGTAGCCCGCAAGCACACGGCGACTTATGAAGACTGCCCAGGGAAGCGCCAGGGCCCTGTGCATCCCAGCACGCCACGCCCCCACGGCTGAGTAGCTACCCAGCACTTCAGTACCACCCCCAGTGCTTGAATGCTCGATGCCCACAGTCAATTACATCACAGTGTCTTGTGAGATCACGGCTAGATGTGAAAAATCATTGTAACGTGCATCACATGCACAGCAGCCCCCTCCCCTCCCTCTCTCTCACAAAAAAAGAAGTTGATCACTCAATGCCGAAAAGGGTCAGAGGAGTGCGCCCGGCACATAGATGCACTTGCAGGCAAGCTGCAAGCAGGAGATACGCTTGCAGGCAGGCTGCAAGCAGGAGCGGCACAAACAACCAACCATGTACAGTTGACAAAGCCTTTGCACCCCCACCCCACATCCACACTTCCTTGCTATCTAAACACGTGCACCCGGCCGCTGCTCGTCGCCACTGCGAGCATCGGCGCGCCCCCCTCCGCGCCGCCCGCCCCGGGGCACCACGCCGCCAGGCGGCTGGGGATCGCGGTCAGCGCCTCCGCCTGCAGCAGCCCGCGCGCGGTGCCGGCGGCAGCGTCGAAAGCGGCGACCCCGCGCTTCATGTCGCCGACAACAAAGCAGTCGCTGCCAAACCACGCCGGTCGAAAGGGGATCACCCAGCGGCCGGTGTTGTTGTTGTGCCTCACGCTCAGCAGCTGCTGCATGCCCTTGCCGGCGCCCGCATCAGCAGCCGCCGCGGACGCCGCGCCGCCGCCGCCGCCCGTGCGCGCGTCGGGCCCCCACACCCGCAGGGTATCATCAAAGGAAATGCTCAGCAGCCGCCCGCTCGCGTCCGTCGCCCACGCCGCGCCCTGGCTGCTCTTCGCGTGCCGCAGCGCGCTCACCGCCGCGGGCCGCCGCGTGCCGCCAGACGGCAGCTGCCGCACGTCCCACACGCTCACGCAGCCGTCGCTGCAGCTGCTGGCCAGCAGGCGCCCCGCGCCGGGCGCGGAGGCCGCGACGCCGCCGTCCGCCCCCAGCAGGGCCAGGGTGTTGACCTTCCTGTCGTGGATGGCCACGTCGCGCGCCGCGGCCGAGGCGGCGCGCGCGTCGATGACCGTGAGCTCCCCCTCCGGGGTGGCGAGGTAAGCCACGTCGCCCCCGACGTCGGCCTCGGCGGCGCTCCACTCGGCGCCCTTGGAGGGCGCAGGCAGCGCCGGCAGCAGCAGGAACTCGCCTGGGGGTGGGTGGGTTGTCGAGCGTGGTGGGGGGAGCATTGGGTTGGCGGGGATATGAGAAGGGGTTGCGTGAATGGACGGACCCCGCCAGCAGCCGTCGACGCCGCCTCCATGCCACCCCTGAGAAACCACAACTAATCTCCTGCCTTGCATCCGACATCCCTGCCTCACACCCCGCAGTTCGCGTGCGTATGCACACGCACGCACATGCACAAACACACATGCACAGATGCATGCACAGATGCATGCACACACACACACACACACACACACACACACACACGATTCCACACACTCACACACACATGCATGCACATGCACGCACCCATGCACATGCACGCACCCATGCACTCACGCACCCATGCACATGCACGCACCAATGCACTCACGCACCCATGCACTCACGCACCTTTCTCCACGTCCAGCAGGCGCACGCTGCCGTCGTACGACGCACTCAGCAGCCGCGCCGCCGCGCCGCGCCCCACCCAGCGCATCGCCGACACATACTCCCGGTGCGCCCCGAAAACAAGGATCCCGTCGCAGCCCGCGCCCTCCCCGTCCTCCACGTCGCCGCCGCCCCCGTCCCCGCCGCCGCCGCCGCCGCCGCCACCGCCGCCGTCGTAGTCTACGCACCACAGCGCCACCTGCCCACTCTTGTCCGACGCCGCCACGATGGGCCGCGCCCCCGAGGCCGGGTGCCACGCGACACAGGTGGTGCCCTGGCGCGTCATCTTGGCCACATCCTCGGGGTCCAGCCGCAGCCGCATCAAAGCGTCCGCCGCCGTACCGACCGCCGCGCCGCCGCCCGGGCCTGCCGCGGCGCCGGCGGCGGCGCCCCTGCGGCCCGCGCGGCCAGTGGCCGGGCTTGCGCTGGTCGGGGCGGCGCTGGATTTGATCAGTTCAAGGAATGCCGCGTCGGTGGCGGCGTCCGCATTGGTGGAGCGGAACGGCAGGGGGGCTGGGCGATTGGGAGCGTTGGGACGCAGCGGGGAGGGGGCAGGGATGGTGAGCTGATCTGGAACGGGCTCAACTGCTGGCAGCTGCCATTGCAATGCCATTCAGCCACCACCCAACCCTCAAGTGTGCTGCTATAACCGCATTAGTGAGGCCCACACGCATCAAAACATATGCATCGCGGGGGCGCGCACCCTCCGAGAAGCGCGGCGCTGGCTCCGCCTTCGGTGCCGCCCCAGCGCGTGCGCCGCCGCCGTTGTCCCCGCCGCCTGCCGGCGCCGCGGCCACCACCACCCGGCCGTCCCGCCCTTCGTGCACGATGCCGCCCGCTGTCGCCGCGTCCGGCGCCACACCCCTCAGCCGCCCCGACGACCGCGGCGGCAGCTCCAGGCCCGCGGCTGCGCGGGCGCGCTTCCTTGAAGCGGCGCCCACGCCCTTTTGCGTCGCCGCGGCGCGCGCAGGCTTGGGGGGTGCCACGATTGCCGCAAAATCGGCGGCCATTTGTGGCAGCTGCAGCGCAGCCATGCGCTCTCGGTTGCGGGCTATCAGCTGCAGCCGCTCCCGCTCGTATGGGGTCAGGCCGTCCGCGGGGGCCGCCTGCGGCAGCAGCGGGTCGTGTGGGAGGCAAGTGACAGCGCCGCAGGGGGGAGTCACCGACTGGGCCGCCTGCCGCATGCACTGCTGATGCCTGCTCGACGTCAATATCACTCATCACGAGGCACAGCAAGGCGCGCGCTTGCCCGATGTAATCAAATTTGAATGGGTGGCGCACAGCGCGCTCAGCGCGGCTCACATCGACCTGCTCGACCGCGTCACTGGGCGACTGGCCGCTGGCCTTGCCGCGGCCCCTGCCTTTGCCAGCCTTTGGCGCCTTTGGTGCTGGTGTGGCATCTTCGACCACCGGCATGCCTTGGTCCACAGCTAACGAGCTCCGGGTGCGGCGTGAAGAGACTGCGTCGCCCGCCACAGGTTCAAGCGGCGGCATGGCGGTGATGGTCACCGAGGTGCCTTTTAATAAAATGGCGACTCGCGCGCTATCTTTGGCGACCTCCCGAAGCCGTGCGTCAATCAATCGTCTTGCAGCGCGCCAAGTTGAACGACGGGCAAAGCAGACAGCCGGGAGATGGGTCACATGGACATTATTCTATACGGTTTACCAAACTGGGACGCATTGAATAATCCGTGCGCTGCAATAACCCAATAGGTCACCAGGCTAGATCACGGGGTCACTGATCACTGCACCAGCACCTTGGATGCGATCGGCATTGCAATGAGCCTTACAGAGCAGCTGGAATCCCAGCTGAAACGCTTGAATCACGCTAGCAGCGTGTTCAGGCGGCAGGCAGCAGTGGGCGTGTTTCAGCTGCTCGCCAGCGGCGCGGCTCGAGGCAGCGCAACCGCTGCCCAGGATGCGGCGCTGCAATGCCTGACCGCCCGCCATGTGGTGAGCTGACACATGCAGGGCGGCAGCATAATGATGCGGTGCCCGCCTCATTCCCTGAGGAAACAGACCTGCTGACGCGGTCAGCTGTGTGCTGCAGCCCCCTGCCCCAATGGATCCTGTTTGTGCCACCGCTCATCCCTCGCCCTGCGTCCGGCGCGCTCGCCGGATGCAATTAACAGGAGGTGGTTGACGAGGCAGTCGCGCAGCTGCTGCGCCTGGCGGACGGTGCCGCACTGCCCGCCCTCGACGCCGCCGCCGCGCTGCGGCTGCTGCTGGACGCCCTCGACGCCGCGCCGCCCCGCACGGCGCCCCCGCTCGCGCGCGGCGTCGTCTCAGCCTTCCTGCTGCGCCAGCGGCAGAGTGCGGCCGGAGGCCACGTCGGCGGCGGAAGCGGCGGCGCGGGCCCTGCAGAGTCTTCCGAGCTGTGGGCGCGCCACCCTCTCAGCGCCGCGCTCCTGGCGCAGCCAGCCGGCGCTCAGCAACTCCTCTCCCACGCGTGCGACTCGCTGGTCGCGGCGGCAGCCGGAGACGAGGGCTCCAAGGCGGTCGTCAACACATGGCACGCGCTGAGACCGTTTTTCTCTTTCATTCTGCTGCGGCCGGTCGAAACGTACGGCGGTGCAGCTGCGGCCGCTCACGCCGGCTCCGTCCTGGCAGCTGGCGCGTCTGGCGACGCCCGCGGCCCGGGCTCGGCGCTTGCGCTGCGTGCTTGCCTGGTGGGCAAGCTCGCGCGTGCGGCATGCGGCTCGGCCGCCATGGCGCGGCTGGCGGTGCCGTTCCTGCTGCGCCACGTGGCGTGCACCCCCCTGGCCGACGACGCTGTCAGGTGGGGGCGGTTGGGGGCCGCGCAGTGTGTCGCCGAGCAGTGTGTCGCAGCGCTGCACATGCTCGTACGCATACGCGCGCACTTGATCGATGACGCAGGCAATGGGGCTCCCATGCAGCTGGTGCTGTGCGGCACCCATCCGCGTTCATTGCATATCACCCCTGGGCGTTGTTTATCCCGCCACCCCTGCGCGTTGGTGAACCCCACCCCCTTGCAGGCTGCAGGTTGCATCATTCCTGAGTGACGTGACAGACATCCTGGACGCCCACTGCCCTGCCGCCGGCGACGCCGCGGCGGGGGCACCCGGGGCCGCGATGGCAGCAGCAGCAGCAGCAACTTCCGAATTGGTGGCCACGCAACGCGGGGGCGCGGCCGCGAAGGACTGGTGGTGGCGCGGTGTTGCTGACACGGCAGCGGTGTGCGTCTCATTGGCTGCCCAGCTCTCAGCCGGCGGGGCCTGCGGCGGCGGGGGCGCGGGGCCGGTGCTGCCGGCCATGCGGCAGCTTGCGCTGCTGGCTGAAGAGGCCGCTGCCGGGGCCCTTGGGGCTGGTGCAATCGACAGGAGAATCCGCGGCTCAGTGTGGGCGCCCTGGTTGCCCGAGCTTGGCGTGCTGGCGATGGGCAGCTGTGACGAGGTGCGGCGGTTTGTGGGCCAGGAGGGGAGGGCACCCTCTCTTGGAGTTTGGGGCGGGGGGCAGTGCACACCAGCAGTTGCAAAATTTACGCATCCAGGTGTGACGGTCCTGCTCAGCTGCTGTGCCGACGCACACATTTGCACGTGTCCGCACGTTTTTGCGTGCACACACAACACACACACATACACACACACACACACACACACACACACACACACACACACAAAATGCACACGTGCTCACATGCGCACACGCATGCACACTCCCATCCACACTCCCATCCACACACAATCCCGGCACCCAAACCACGCAGGACCGCTGCGCCCTCTTTGCGCTGATGGCGGCCGCCATGGACAAGGTGCGGCGCCACGAAAAGCAGCAGCAGCGGCAGCAGCAGCCGCCGCTGCCGCAGCAGCAGCAGCAGCAGCAGCAGCAGCAGCAGTGGATTCCAGAGGCGGCGCTGCTGGTCGTGCCGCTCCTCCACGCGCTCGTCCTCTCACCCAGCACAGAGTCCAGGCGCTGGGCTTCAGCGCTGCTGGCGGCCGCGCAGGCGCGGGGGCGGCCGTGGGCCCCGCCTTGGCTGGAGGCAAGGGACAGCGGGGCCGCCAGCGCCGGCGCTGCAGCCGCGGTGCCGCTGTCTGAGCTGTGCTGCCAGGGGGAGCTGGTGGTGGTGCGCGCGGCCAGGCGCCTGCTGGCCCCACTGGCAGGCGACAGCGCACGCGGCGTGGCCGAGGGCGCCGCCGCCGTGGCGGAGGCCGTCGCTTGGCTCGACGCACTGGCTGCAGCGGTCGCGCACGCGCGCGGCGAGGCGGCGGCGGCCGCGTCCGGCGCGGGCGCGGCGGCGTTCTCCGTCGCGCTCCCCTCCGCGCGGCAACTGCGGGAGCAGGAGTTGGCCGGCGGTCCTGGCTATGGCTTCGGAGCCGCCGAGCTTGGGCCCGGGGCGTCGGCGCTGCTGGGGGCGCTGCTGACGCACGGGGACGCCCACGTCGCCGCAGCCGCCGCGCGCTGCCTGCGGGAGCTCGCGCTCGCGCTGCCCGCGAGCGCGCCGGTGTTCCTGCCGCCGCTGCTGGTGCAGCTGAGGCGGCTGGGGGCGGGGGGCGGCGGCAAGGGCGGCGCGGCGCCCCTGAGCGGCACGCCCCTGGACGTGGCCAGGTCGGTGCTGCGCCGACCTCTGTTGCGAGCTTCATTGCCTGCTTTGGCGTCGGCTCCACCCAGGGTGGCTGCCCAGGGTGGAGCTGAGGAAAGCCCCTTTCTGTTTCCCTGCACTGCCCTGTCCCTGCTCCACATGCCAGTGCCCCGGCACACGCCGCACTAC